GGGACTTCGCCTCTCTATGGTCTGCAAAGGATAACATCTCAAAGAGTCACTATGTTACACTAGCGCTCCAACACATTTTACATGATAGGCTAAGTAAAGGGGCGGGACATCTCTAAACGGTTAACCAACAGAGCCGGCCAGCTAACCAATCAGAGCAGACTGGGCTCTTGGTTTAGACAGAGGGTGAAAAGAGGTGCTGCAGCACAGGCAGTATGAGAAAAATAAAGAGCTTTTTGAACATTAAAGCATTGAGACATGTCACAGGAGAGACACTACATACAAATATGAACCTAGAAATGAGCATAACAGGGCCCCTTTAACCAGTCATTATTAAAGAACTCATCTTCTTCATACTATTAAGTAGTAAAGAAAGAGAGTTGTCTTTGTCTGCTTCCTTCCTTCACTGCGAGTTTGTGTGGAGGTCAGTTGTGTGTCTTTGTCCAGGACACTGAATCCAGACCACATCTCCATGTTGATCAATCAAAGAAAACCAAACACTGCTTTCCATTCTCATCAGCCACCATGAAATCATGCATAAAAGGGAAAATAATCTGTGCTCTGGACAGATGCTGAGGTTTCGCCTGCTTTTCAAAAAGCTCCTATCATGGCTGACCTGCCCCTGAACCTCTCCTCTCCGTCTCACAGTCACTGCCAATGTAAGCAGATGCCTCTTGGAGGTTCGCTTTCAGTCTCTTATTTATGCATGGGATGATAATGCTATCCTGCATGTGATACTTCAAGAGAGGAAAGAGTCAATAACTAATGGAATTCATGCTAAACAAGCACTCCTCTTCCCTCTTAGCGTACCACCCAGGTTTTCCGCTGATACGCTCACCTCCGCTGAGCATGGAGCCCACACAGTTTGCCACAACAGATTTAGCTCAAATACTGCAGGTCCTGCTGGATTGAGCCCTTTATATCTCCAGCTGGGGAAGCTCACTCCTCTAAACTCCTACAGCGGAGAAGCTTTGGGAAAGATCTATAAAATGACACAGAATAAAAGCCTCCCTCCCTGCCTCTCCGTCTATCTCTCCGTGGCTCCATAATACACGTTTTACAGTTTGAAAGGAGGTATCAGTCTCCTGTATATCCTGCAATTGGATACTTCTCATCCGCCAAAAGTTCAGCAAATCGTAAATCAAAAGTTCAGGAGTAAAGTTATAATCACAGGATGCATCCACACTTAAGGAGTCATCACAGTCATTCAGATGGGCTGTAAACAAAATCAGGATGTGATACAGCGCTGTAATCAGAGTTTAACATGAAATATTTGTTGAGCTCTGAGATGTTTCATTACAAACCTGGAGGCCAACATCTCACATCAGGCACTTTTGGCAGGAAATACATACTGTAGGTGCCGTATATACTCAACCTTTGGGTGTTCTGTATTGAATGTCATCAATAGTAAATGTCTATTGGTTGTGTGGTTGTCATATGCATAGAACATTAGTTCAGCAAATGTGACTGCATTTGTACCTTCCTCAAAAGCTACTCTGGTACTATTTTTAGCTTCAGAGTCAGTGTGTGTGTGTGTGTGTGTGTGTGTGTGTGTGTGTGTGTGTGTGTGTGTGTGTGTGTGTGTGTGTGTGTGCGTGCGTGCGTGCGTGCGTGCGTGCGTGCGTGCGTGCGTGCGTGCGTGCGTGCGTGCGTGCGTGTGTGTGTGTGTGTGTGTGTGTGTGTGTGTGTGTGTGTGTGTGTGTGTGTGTGTGTGTGTGTGTGTGTGTGTGTGTGTGTGTGTGTGTGTGTGTGTGTGTGTGTGTGTGTGTGTGTGTGATCATATTAAATTGTGTTCCTGGAGACACTTCCAGTAACGAGAACTACCACAGAAGCCATAATGGGTGTTTTGCCAGGTGTGCACATTTCGGTCTGTCTGGATGAGGACGGATTTTGCAACTTTGAAGGAATCAGCCTCAAAGGTTAAAGAGTTTATTAGAGATCAAAACAAAGGTTGATTTAGACGACATGAATGGCCCAAGCAAGGGTGTCAAAGAGGCCATTGTCCCACCCTCTTAAGGCCCTGGGCCAATTAGGCCAGGTCTGAACAAAGGTGTAGGAAGTAGGGTGTAGGAGTTGCGAATGGCCAATTAGCCCCAGGCCCGCGTTCACTTTTCAGCTGATTTAATCCATCCCAAAATGGTCTCGAGTTATAGAATTATATATTTTTTTCTTGTTGTTTTTTCCTTCTATATTATTTTTTAAAAGTTCCTTACCTTTGAGTGGAGGTCTGTGCTCCAAGTAGCAATGTACTGATCTGCCTTAGTCATTCAGACTTGGAGGAGATCGTAAAAGGTAATTGGCTTAAAGGTTTGTCTAATGACAGTCCTTTAAGAGGCAAGTGTGCTACATAGATAGATAGATAGATAGATAGATAGATAGATAGATAGATAGATAGATAGATAGATAGATAGATAGATAGATAGATAGATAGATAGACAGACAGATAGATAGATAGATAGATAGATAGATAGATAGATAGATAGATAGATAGATAGATAGATAGATAGATAGATAGATAGATAGATAGATAGATAAAGTGGAATAAGAAGTGCCGCAAGAAAGGTAATAAATCAAGACACAAGGAATTTCGTGAATTTAAAATTGGATTACTAACATATTGGCCCATAAACTGAGAATTCTCTGTGCATGTGTGCAGAGCTGAAGGTCATTTCCAGCTCCAGTTCGTATGATGGGCAGTTATTACAATCTGAAAACCAAACAGAACACATTGTTTCTTTTCCAGCAGCTGCACATATGTGTTCAGTGATTGATTTAAAATGACCTGCACAAACATGCAGGCATAATGATAGTATAATTATATCCTACTGCACAAAATGTATGTCAAGTAGGCCCATAAGTGCTCTGAGAATAGGGAGTGAGAGGCAGCATCTGAGATGTCGGCAGGTCAGCTAAGAAGGCTTTGCCTGGATATTTCCAGGAGATTAAATTCAGTGGTGAGAGCCTTGTGAAGACGCTCCAAACTCTGCACCTGGTTCGTATTCCATCCTCACAATCTGCTTTCTTTGGACACCGCATCTTCCTCTTATTTGATTTCAGCTCTTTGAGATATAAAATACTTGCTGATGCTTAAAGACTGTCTTTGGGGATGGTGAGGTGGGGTGAAGAGACGGCCTTCTGAGCCATTTGGAAAATAGATTTATTGGGATTTGGCAGCAGGGTGTGGACTGTCAAAAGAGTTCTGAATGAAACAGAAATTCATGCAGTCTGTACATATAGCAACAATTATGGGATCTATTAAATCTTTCTTTTGTACCCACTACTTGAACAAGTCGATCTTGGACTGCGTTCAGGTATTTTTATGAGATGGTTCAAAGGACTCACTTGGTTCTCTGCTGAACAGTGTCAGCAAACATATTATCTGATCAGATGGATGCCTTAGATGCAGAAACCCACACACGCCTGACTTTCCATCTGTCCCACAGTCAGGATGGTCTACATTTAGGTTTTTATGACTTAGCAAACGGAGGTGGCTCTGAGGTTATTAGAAAGCAATAAATTCCTTGTGCTTCGTGCCATTATCTTGACTGAGGGCATATAATGACTAGTGACAGGTTTACTGCTCCTCAAAACTCTCTTCTGGCTACAAGCATGGAAAGCTACTTTTTCTGGCAAAAACAAAATAGTTCATCAGAGACAAAAAGATATTAAAGTAATCAAAGTTGGACACAGAAGATGCCAGTGTCAGCATTACTGCCTCAAGTTTTGCAGAACACTGAACTTTTCTAGCCATAATCTTCAATGATCCAAAAAGGGTTTCGCTTAGCATGCATGACCCTTATTCACCAAGACGTCTACATCCATCTATTTCCAACCTGGACCCTGTTTCACCGTTTTCCATAAAACCAACCTTGGTAGACTTTACTGTCTATTAAAAGCAGGAGTGGATAAGAAATCATTCAATAGACGTCCTATGGTTTAGGTCCTCAGGGGCAAACAATATTTTCATCTCACAGGAAAACTCATGGGCCTGCTGGTAGATATATTTAAATTTAGCCATGTGTGGAAACACCAACACAGGCTGAAAATATGACAGGCTCTCCCCATCAATAGCAGTCAGCCTTGGCAAAAAAAGGATTTTGGGCTTTTCAATTAACATTCCCCCCTTTTTAGGTCAGTTTAAATCATTTGACATGTTAGGAAGAACTATAATATGATGTAGAGTAGGCTAGTACTGTCAACCATTAACATCTTTTAATCTTTTCAGGTGATAGACTATGCCAATTTTAAAAGATTGAAAGAAGAGCTGCTGCCACTTAATATGCAGACATTTACACATCAGAATCAGAAACAGGTTTATTGCCAAGTTTTTTTACAGATACGAAGAATGTTCCTTGGTGTATATGGTGCATACATAAACACAGATACAGAAGATAAATTGTAGGAAAAATGACCCAAAAATAAAAACTATTATAAAAAATGATATAAAAGAAACAAGCTATTATAACATAAAGATATAGCAAATGGTTAACATGAATAGATATACCAAAAAAAAAAAAAGGTACAGTATACTATGACAAAATACTCTGAATAATACAATTAGTTAAAATAGATGTAAAATATCAGTAAAATGAACACAATCCAAATGTAAAAATGCCTCAAGATTATGTAAGAACTGGCAATGTAAAATATTGATGAAACCATAGACTGTATTTATAAAAGAGTGATATTTTTTTTTAAACTACATAACTATATAATGTAGGCCAAATATTTTGTTTGAGGCCCGTTCTGTTTTTGATATCTGTATTATTACATATGCATTTACTGTTGCTTCATAAAACAAAAAAATGCATTTCGCTTCCCTCTGTCTCATATAGGCTTTCACTCTTTCTATCTTTCTTAAATACAAGGAGTAAAGATTGTAGATAACTTGTCCTTGCTGCTTCACCCACACATGACAGACTGGACTACCTGCAACACAAATCAAACGCACCTGTGCAGTAAGGTGGACTAATTCAACCATCAGTGCCCCCTGTCTTCCTTCTAGTTTCCTGCAACGCTAAACTGCTCATATTCACAGTGTAGAAATGTAGCTAGAGGACACATTGCTGAGGTATATGCTGCTGGTTAAAATAACCTCAAAAACATCCAGAAGATGGAGGAGTTTCCGGTGGCCATGTTGGCAGCTCACTACTATTTTCTCCTCAGATGTTGAAATGCTGCTTCACTTCATGAAGGTAAGTTAGCTAGTTATACTCACAGGCATGTTGTGAGTGGCTGTGTTCAGTTGGTGTTCATGTGCGTGGCTGAAATGTTACTAATGTGGCTACTGAAGCTTAATTAGTCTCCATTTCATGTGAGTATGGCCTGTTGGCTTTTATGCTACTGTCCTTTGCAATATTTTAACATTGTGTGCTGTGTCTGGCTCTGATGTGCTTGAGCTCATTTCCTCATGCTACGAGGGGTGCTTTCATGATGATTTTAGTTAAGTGATGGTGAAATATATGTTTGTCTTAAATGTTGTGTGTGTCATGGGTTAACATGGGAATATTGTTGTTGATCTTGTTTTGGAGAGTTTGTATTAGCTAAATTCAAAGAAAGTCTCTAGTGGAGGTTAATCTTGTACAGAGAATTTGATGATGTTATCTTGTTGACATTTACCAAATCCAGTAAAACACAAGATTAATATGTTTCGCTTTGCTTTACTTTCATAATTGCATCCAAAATGCCTTTTTAGCATTTATATTGCTGCTACACGATGCTTCACTCATTGTCAATGTACTTTATATCAATGTAGCCTACTGATGTTCCTATGCTCATAATCAATGGTAATCATGCTTATAAAAGCAAATATTACCATGACTTCTAAGATGAATACTCTTAAGATTGCAGTTGTTGGAGTTGGGGATTGGCCACAGGGAGGCTTGACTCTCACATGATAATACTGTACTGTGTATGCTCTTTGTGGTCTCTTTGTCTACCAGGGGAATGGTCAGGTTGTGGTTGGCGCTGCCTCCCACACATACTGTAGTATATTTTACATAATAGTTGGCGTCTGTCTTTGTATGTTCTGGGGTTTTATGGAGAGAAGTTTATTCTAATGTGCAATCTCACATCTCCAATCTCTGCTCCGATCTCGATATGCTTGAGATGCAAAACATCAACTCTTTAGATATCCATTCACATACTTATTATACTCCACGAGTTCGCTGAATAACTGAAAGGCTCTTGGGTTTTGCTTTGTTTGACCCCTTAAACAGCACTGTGTTCAAATGTTCTAGTCTCTCGGTTTAAAACGTTTTTTTTCTTTATAGGCTACATTTTTCACATTTGTTGAGGTGGATTCTGGTTGCCATACTTGACATACCAGCATTCTGTGGCTTTGTCTTAGCATAGTAAAGATTTTTGCTGCTTTAGCAAGTTTAATTGATAAGCCAAAAGCGTATGTGTAATTTCATATAATAGGACATTTTATGCATACTTAACTGACACTCCAAAGTTGTACAACTATACTTACAGTATTTATACATTGAGCATGGACTGGTGTCATAGTCGGCAGTAAAATGGCAATGTGCAGCTCTGGATATGACCCGGTAACTAAAATAATTAATGAATTATTATTATTTTAAATTGATTTACATAAATTGCAATGATGCAGTTTTTTGGAACTGTTCTCCGATGTAACTACTGTAAAGCAACAAGAGTTGTGTAAAAACAGACTGATTGGTATTTGACTAGGAGCTGGATTATTGAAAAGTTGATTCACAGGAAATACAAATAATAATGAGCATTTATTCTGTATTTAATGTCATTGATTTATCAGGACAACATACAAATTGTTATATGCTCAACCTGGAGTTATTTTTCAACGAGAAGTCCAAATCTATTTCATTCTTTACATTCTTTTGCTCAAAGGTTTTGAGAGAAATGTGTCTTGGCAACTTTGAGGGACTGGCCCATTGTTTTGTCTCGGGGCTGCAGCTGATTATTTTCCTTGTTGATAAATCTTATTTCTCCACTTTATTAAAGTTTGGTCTATGAAATTCCAGAAAATAGTGAATCATGTCCATCACAATCCCCTAATGCCCAATGAGACATGCTCTAATGTTTGTCCAACCATCGGTCCCAAAAACATTCCATTTCCATTCATCAACTATTCGTTACCATCCCTTAAGACAAAGACAAAAAGCACTGAGAAGCTCAAACTAAAGAATGTTTGGCATTTTTTGATTAACATTAATAATCAATTATCTAAAGAATTTTCAGATTATTTTTTCGGTTGATGAAGTCATCTACAATGCACTATTTGTTTGAGCTGTACTATCCTCACCTTGTAGATTTTGAGTTAATTCTCAAGCAACACCAACAAACTCTCCACGGTCATCTGAGGCCTTACGGCTCATCACTCTGCCGTCTGTATCAGCTGTCTGAGAAAGTCATTAGATCATCTCCAAAAACAAACACATTTTCCGGCTAAGAGGCCTAACCTTCCACTTATAGATGAGAGAGATGTTGAAAGACGTGTACAGTCAGAGGTCCACCACAACTGTTATCCTCAGAGATGTGGTCGAATAATTGAGGATACTTTGGCTGACACTCCGACCCCGAAGATGATTTACAATGTCCTGATGATTTTCCCAACTCCGGGTCATTGGCGTCAAAGACAAAAGGAGTCTGTGCTGCCATTCAAACAGATGGATGAGATGTGAAAAAAGCTGAAAAAGAGAGAAACCTGGAGTCTGAATCTGTAAACCGCACTCATTGATGAGGTGCAGCAATGAAATGCTTCCTCCTTTGTGTGTCCGACAGCACTGCCTGTCTTCTGATATCCAGAGCCAGGAGTTTTCCCAATTGAAAAACTTTCCAATCCCAAATTACAGTCTCAAGTGGCTTTCGGAGAACCTGAACCTTTCCTGGTCGACGACCTTTGGCCACTGGGTTGATTTGGAGCAGTTCAACATCAGTTTTTATCAACTTGAGAAAGAACTTTTGTTAGCTGTGCCCAGGCAAGAGCCCTCTTCAATAATCTAGTTAGTGGTAAGAGGCACTTTACCAAGAGAGCTCACTCAGTGTGAGTGTGTGTGGTTGTGTTGGTCTGTATTTCTGTGATTCTCTTCCACATTTGTGTGGAGTTTCAGTCTGGATAAGGAAGGCAGAACATTCGGGATCAACCAAGAGGGCCTTGGTTTTCCTGGCGCACAATAGCAGGAAGTGCTGCCACTATATGGAAGCTGAAATAGTGGGACAACTCAGTCAGCAAGGCCTTCATGCCATCAGCCAATAGGACTTATGTGCTCACTCTTGTCCTTTTCCAACTTCCATCTTCGATAATCAAAATAAATAGAAAGGAGTGCCAGAAACGTTGTACATTCAGGCCAGGCTGAGTAAATATTCTACCCATGGCTTTTGAAAGATGATACACTTGATATTTCCAGTTTGAAGAGGCCAAATCTTTTCATCTGTGCCCAAATTCTGTATAATCTTTGCCATAAACTTGCCTAAAAGTTCTGGCGAATCATTGTTTCCTCAATCATTTTGTTCTTGGGAGGATGGAAAAGTCATTGAAATGCTGAACAGAAGTTATTAAATTGTTTTTTGCTGGGATAACAACTTCATAAACGGGGCTTTTTTTGTACGCTTTCTAACAATTCTCAGAGAGTAAAATCTCATATGTTTTTCCGTTGTATTGGTTTTTGCAGTGTATTTGATACCCATGTTTGGCAAACAATTATCAGTCTTATCAAGAGTCATTTGTCAGGCATCATTTTAAAGCTGGTGAAAAAGCCAATTTTCCATGCGTTCTTTAATGACCAAATCACTCAGCCAGTCAACATAGAGGCAAAAAGGAAGCTTTGACAGATAGCCAAAGTAGCAGAATCCTGCAATGTGGATCAGCCCCCCCCCTCTCAAAAATAACTTCTTAATAGCAGACTTGAGCAGCAAATTAAGATAATTGACTGTTCTGGTTTGGGAAATGTATTTTCCAAAAACGAATCAATTGAACCCACAGCTATTCCAGGCAGTTGGTCTCAATCTACAATATTGCAAACATTTCATCGCTTCCCATTCTTTGCTGTGCTGAGTGTGGCATTTCTTTGTGGAAAATGACAAGGTTTGAGGCCCAGAAACCAAACGCCAATGCTGTTAAACAACATAACTTGCATAATCTGTTATGGCTAGTTGGGACACACTTTTAAACTATGATTGCATGTTTCAAAGTGTGTTTTTATTGTGATTTTGAGAAGCGGGCAGTTTGTACCAAATTAACTGCTCAGATCGGACGACCGTGACCGATATAGTGTGGCATAATGCCTGGCACTAAGGTTTATTACAGGACTCAACAATAAAAATAGTTGTTTGTTAACTCTCAGACAGCTGAAGAATGTCTTTTACATACGTATGCAGCTTGTGGATTGCAGGAAAAATCTCACAGAAGTTCACATCGTTGCACACTAAATCTGTAGTAGTAACAGAAATGATATTTTATCTGGTAGAGAAAATTCAAATGTTCGTTTTGCAAGACTGTCAAGATCTTAACTGAACTACTATTGGATTCAAACACGGCAAGCTAAAACAGATGAGATGAGAGTAAACGCTTGAAATAAAACAAACAGACAGCAGAGTGAACATGCTGCATTATTTCCTCCAGATCTGCAGATAAGTTCAGTCTCAACAAAACTTTAATGATCTCTGAGGGAAAACTGGGTCACTGCAGCAGCAACGATTTAAACTACGAGTAAGAAAACCAAAAACACAGCGCGACACAGGAAGATCAAAGACGAAATAATGTCACTGTACTGCAGATAAAAAAAAATAACAGACTACAAAGTTAGTTGTGCACTTTATCTACTTTGCTGAGGCCCTTTCTTAGGCATGACTCTGCTCTATAGTTTAAAGTATATCACTTCTGGAAAACGCATTACATCCCTCACCTTGGACAAACCCTCTCCCCATTTTAAGCTGTGTGGCTCTTTCCCTGGAGGCCATGAACGACTTTGCAACCTCCCCAAAAATGTCAAGGGTACTTTAGTGGGAAGAGCAGGAAGGAGGCAACATGAGAGGGAACCTAGAAAAACATTTCGCCTCCTAAGATCAGTGTAAATATGTTTAGTCATAATTTTTGGGGAACAGATAGAGGTTTATCCCTACTTATGTACCATGCGATTATCTGCAGATTTCAGTCAAATATGTGGCAGAAATGTGGTTTCCAATTTAGATAACTGCGTGATTTCAACAT